TAATTTTTTTATTACAGTAAAAAGTTTTCATATAAAGTCACATCTCAACTCGAATCAGCGAACTAAACGGACAAATTATTTTGGGTTTGTTGAGTTATATTTTTAAGTTATGATAATTTGAGTGTAGATTTTAAATTAAATTTGAATTGTAACTTGAGTTTGTATTTAATTGTATACATTTAAGTTATAGTTTGAGATGAGAATCTTTTTAAATTTGTATTAGGGTGAGTCAAAACTTAAGTTTGTATTTAGATAATATTTTAATAAAAACTCAATGATGATGGAGAATTTTAATAGGGTATATAGGTGAGGTTTTATTCATCTCTTCATTGTGAACACATAAAAAAAATCATCTTAATCATAATTAAAATGAAAAAATTATAGCGTTTTTAAGAATATAAAAAATCATGTCTATTAACCTGAGTTTGAGTTTATGAACTTGAGTTGAAAGAGAAATTTAAACTCAGATTTTAACCTCAATTTCAAGTTAAAATTTAAATTAAAATAAAAATTCAAACTCAAATTTTATAAAAAAAATGTAAATTTAAATAAATTATAACTTAAATTTAAATTTTTTTTAAATTTAGGTGCAAAGGAACAAGCCGTTTGTTCTATAATGTCACTGACTGGCGTTCTTCTTTGCATTTTTTTCCAGCTTTTAAAATTATTGTCCTTCATGTTGTCGTTTCTTGTACTTTGTCGTCTACTATATATGCTGTTTTCATGATGTCGGCTACAAATTAATGTCGTTTTCTCAAATTTTATATTTTTATATCTTTTTATCTTTATATTAAGAAAAAATATGGCAGACTAATTGATATTTCTATTGGTTAATGAAGGAGCTCAATGAAAAAAAAGAAAAAGGAAATAAATATTTTTTAGAATGTATGAGTTCAAATTTTAATATCTTACTCTTGATTACCCTCACTTTTTAATTAAATAATTATATTAGTTAAAAGGGTACTAATCAAGAGTAAGAACATCTCTAATATAATGTTATAATTAATGTGACAATTGTAAATTTAATATTTGAGTATAAAAAATACTCTCTAATGCAATGCTATTTGTTGTGCTAAATTTCTTATATGTTTTACTTTGTGGCAAATTTCTCACAAAGTATAACATATGAGAAATTTGACATTTGATTATTATTAGTTTAAATGTTTAGTTTTTCGATGTAATCAATCAACTTTTGCATTTTTTAATTATTTTAAAAATAAAAGTTTACTTTTACAACTTTTAAAGCTTAATAAATATAAAAAAAATATATTTAGCATTTCAAATAGCATTATGCATTAGAGTACAAATGAAAATAACATACTATATCATATTTTTTGTTGTTAAATATACAATTAACATTTGCATTGGCTTTTAAAGCTTAATAAATATAAAAAAAATATATTTAGCATTTCAAATAGTATTATGCATTAGAGTACAAATGAAAATAACATACTATATCATATTTTTTGTTGTTAAATATACAATTGACATTAGCATTTGCATTGAAGATGATCTAAAAAGTAAAAATCTAGACTTCTACATTTTAAAAGACTAAGGTAAATTTAACATTTTTTTCATGTAAAAAGATGCATGCTGCGCCTTTGAAACAGTTCAAATCGGTTTGATAATAATTTTTTTTTTTTTCAATTTTTAGTTAGTTTATGAAGTTATTGTCGTTTTCAAAACTTCATTGTTTTTATCTTATCTTTGTTTTAAAACATTTAATGTCGTTTATTCAAATCTTGTCGTTTCTAAATTACGTTTATAACTTTTTGTTTCCAAGTTGTTGTCGATCCGAACCTTTTTTATGCTATTATCATTTTTTAGATGTTCTCGTTTACAAAATTTATTACTGTTTGCATGATGTCGTTTCCATTGTTATATGTATTTTTTATAATTATGTCGTTTTCTAATTTTCATTGGTTTTATAGTTATTTGTCATTTTTCCCTTTAAAAAAAGTTATTTGTCGTTTTAAAAGTTATTATCCTCTAAATCATTGTCGTTTTTCAAGTTATTGTATTTTCTAAATTATTGTCGTTTTAAATTCTCGGACATCTGCTGTCTTTTAATATCTGTGTTTTGGTTTTCAAATTATTGTCGTTTTTTTGTTGTTATCGTTGTCATTTCATGGACTATGCTGTTTACTTTATTTACTGTCGTTTTTATTTGTCTTATGGTTTCTTCGTATTATGGTCGTTCGGACATTGTTCCATCTAAATTTTTATTATCGGTTGGTAAAGTCATTGTCGTTTGCGATTATTGTTGTTTTTAGTGTCATTTTCGTATATATTGGTTGTCTTTTGTATGTATTCATCAATTTTGTAAGTTATTTTCGTTTTTTATTTTCATTGTTGGATGTGTGTGTGTGTTTTTTTAAATATGTATAAGTACTGTAGTTTTAGGCTGTAATTGTCGTTCCTAGTACATGTTGTCGTTTGTGTCTAATTCTCAACATAATTTTGATGTAAACATATATCATGTTATTATACTGTTATCGTCGTTTCTGAAGTATTTGTTATATGTTGCAGGTATTATTGATGCTTACAATTGCCATATGGCCTGATGCTTATACAGATCCACAGGACCACAGCCTAGGAGAAAAATAAGGTCAAATATTGATTACATGTTGAAAGTTTACTGTAGTTCCTTCGCTTGCCGTGACAAAATTAAGCTAAAAATAATAAAAACAGAGATAACAAATGAATAGAAAAAGGGAAACTACTCTTTACATACATACATACATACATTATATATATACACGCGCGCGCACACACACACATCTAAGGAGGAATTAAAATCTGTAGATATACCAAAATCATGTAAGAAGGAATGTAAAGCAAAAACGACAATAAATGCAATGTGTACAGAATATCTCACTCAATACAAAATTTGAGAACCTCACTGATTAGAAAACAAAACAAAAATCATGTAAGAAGGAATGTAAAGCAAAAACGACAATAAATGCAATGTATACAGAATATCTCACTCAATACAAAATTTGAGAACCTCACTGATTAGAAAACAAAACGCTTTAACACTTTTGGCTTCACTCATACATGCATGTACAAATTATCTTACAAGTAAATCACAATTGAAAAACATCAAATAATTTATATTAATAAGCTTGGGTCATTCTGCTAAGAATTTCACAAGTCAACAAACTTTTAAAAAAAAAAAAAAAGAAAAAAGGTGAGCACAATCAAAATTAAGAATGTAGTTACGGAGATACCATTCCTGTTGTAGTGACAGCTAAATTTTGTTCACCTTGCCATGCCCAAACAATGTCTTTTAGAGCTGGTCTTATATCATTTTCCATTATCCTTTTGTACTCCAATGTATCACCACTAGATTTCTTTACCTCAACCAGATGAAAGGAAGGAGTGAATTCATATATCTCAGCTTGAATTGAAATTGTTCCTTTTCTGCCTTCCTTTGAACCCTCCATTTTCAGACACCCTTTGTCCTTCTTCACTTTCAGCCTCAGATTCCTAGCAACTTCCTCCAATTTTGACACAATCGACGAGGCGGGGCGTGTTGATGTGAATTGTACCGCTTTCTTCTCATCATTCTCTGTGAACAAACCGGAGAGATCGAATCCGCTGGAGAGGGAAATGATGCCAAAAGCATTCAAATTAGTAGGTTTGGTTAACTCTTGTGTTTCCTCTAGAGTTGCATCACTATTCTCACAATTGCCAAAAGTATCAAATGAAGCCAGTTCTTGGGTACCTGTTTTGCTTCTGGTGGCTTGAGAGTTGAACACTTTTCTGAACCATGGATTTTCCATTATCCTTGCAATCAAAATCCTCTTATTCGGGTTAGGATTTAGAATTCTTGATAGAAGCTTGCGCGCTTCGTGTGAGAACCAGTTGGGACACTTATAGTCTGCCTTGCCTATTTTCTTGTACATTTCCATAAGATTTGAATCATGGAACGGCAAATAACCAGCTAAAAGGACAAACAAGATCACCCCACAAGACCAAATGTCAGCTTTAGCCCCGTCATACCCTTTTCTACATAAAACTTCAGGAGCTGCATAAGCAGGAGTTCCGCAAACCGTATGCAGCAAAGCATCATGGCGCCTAGACTCAACAAGCGCACTTAACCCGAAATCAGACACCTTTAGATCTCCATTCTCATCCAGTAGCAAATTCTCGGGCTTCAAATCGCGGTGATAAACGCCTCGGCTGTGGCAATAATCAACAGCACCGATCAGCTGCTGAAAGTACTTCCTTGCCATATCCTCTTTCAGCTTTCCTTTGGCTACCTTGCTGAAGAGCTCACCACCTTTGGCAAATTCCATAACAAAGTAAATCTTTGTTTTTGTTGCCATTACCTCGTAAAGCTGCACTATATTTGGATGATTGACCTTTTTCATAACAGATACTTCTGTCTTGGTCTGATCAATTAGGCCAACTTTCAAAACTTTTTCCTTGTCTATCACCTTGATGGCCACACTTTGGCCAGTTTCAATGTTCCTAGCATGGTAAACTTTTGCAAAGTTTCCTTTGCCCAAAAACTTCCCTACATCATATTTCTTCATCAATACATTCCCCTTATTTTCCATCACCAAAACTTTCAATCCCACAGCAAGTAATAACAATGTGTGATCTCCTGCAACTATGGATATGAGTTATTCACAAGGCAGGAAACTTTTGTGGCTGAAGAGCTAAATCATCTTTAGCCCTTTTGCGGCTTTAATTTGCATTTGGTCGCGGAGTTTGATCGTTTTGTTGCGAGTTGCGTCTCCAATCTCATCAAGATCAAATGAGGGAAGCTCAGATGTGATCTTTATTTGAAAGAATTTGGTGAAGGCACTGTAGGCTTCAAGCACATCTCGCTGCATTCCTCGGTGATTATCTTGTGCACTACATGCGGAATGAAAAAAAGAAAAGGAAAGAAAATTGAAGAATTCAATAATATAAATGCGATTATAAATTCCTCTACGCTTATGTTAGAACCAAAGAAGTACTAATATAGTGGATTTATCATCAAGCTAGTGATTAATAAACGGTCAAACACAGAAAAGGAACTTGGCCAACATTGTGATTTGTGCCATACATCCAAATTAAACTACCGCACTCAACAAGAACCATTGGTCGTACTATACAAATTGGTTTGTTTGTGAAAAATGTAGCTTTTATAAGAACTCAAATTGCTTGGTTTGTTTCCCAAACTATGACTATGTAATTGTCATAATTCAAATAGTAAGAACACTCAAAAAGAAATTGTATAAGCCAAGAGAGAATTAAGATGGTAATAAAAATGAGAAGAAAAAAAAAATAAGAGGAAGAAAATACCTTTGGGGAAGAGGAAGAGCCTCTGGGAGAACAGAACGTTGAAAGGAGAAGAGAGATGTGAAAGGCATAGAATAGAGAATAGAACACAAAATAATATATGGGTATGGAGGTTCTACATCCAACTATAAATAATCATTAAAGAGTTCAACTTTTTTTGTGTGCATTGAGAAGACAAGCATGCTATGCATGGCCCATCTGAGGCCCTTTAACCAACTCATGTGAGAGGTACACTTGAATAGAATGAAGGTAGCAGAAAAATGTAAAAGATGTCTCCTTTTCTTTTTCTTACTTTTTAATTTGGTGTTTGATTTGAAGTTTATGTACTTTTCATTTGAGGTATTACGTTGAGGGTTCTTTTGGAATCAAATCAAGTTATTACCCAATTAATGGCATTTACTTGTTTATTGTTATCTCATATAAAAAATTTTCTTTTATTAATCAGACTTTATCTTTTTGTTTTTGGTTGGACGGAATGGAATAGAAAAGAATATAAGTACTATGTTTGGTCGGTTTTGGAATCAAGAATAGCCATTTTATTGGAATGATTTTTTGCTCATTTTATTTTTTTTTTGAAGTTTACTTGAAGATTTTCCATTGTTGGGTGGTGTGATAGTAGGTTTGAGTTCGAAGAGCAGGCCAATATATTTTCAGGGATTGTTAATTTCCAGATTTGAAATTGGGCTTGAATATGGCAAGAATTGGTGGTGCTTATTTTGGGTGTGGTTTATATATATATATATATATATATATATATATATATACACACACACATACTTGCCAAAAGAAAAGAAAAAGAAAAGGTAAGGGTAATTTTGTCCAAATAAATTATATCTCATTCCATTCTCTAATATCTATAAAATCCCAAATCAAACACATATATATCCTTTCTTTTCTATTTTATTTCATTACAATTATCATTCTACCAGTCCAACCAAACTTACCCTCAAATGAAAGCTAATTCAAAAACTTATTCCGGTTAGATATTATGTAGTGCCTCTTCTTTTCTCATCAAAAAAGAAAAAAATAAAAGTAGATATTAGTATGTTACCTCGTTCTTTTCATAAACAATGAAAAAGAAACAAAAAAAAAAATGATAAAGTAATGATAATCTTCTTTTATCTTTCTCATCTAACGTTCATTTTATTTATAGATATTATATGACCCACCCACCTCCAATACTGCAATTTCCTCAACCAACTTTCTCTTTCACAAGCTTTTTCATATTAAATCAACAATGGCCCTTATATCTCTATTTTCTTTTCATCGAGTAATCTAATTTAATATTTTAAGGAAAAAAAGTAATGTCAAGTTTTCAATAGCGTCCATAAATTGGCATCTTTTTCTTTAACCAATAATTGTTAATCCCACACTTGTTAGTAGAAACATATACTTCACCTACCAAACCCTTCAGTACTTCAGCAATTGCTGGGCTTTATACTTTTAAAAAAAAATTATGTCACATCTTAGTGTTGTAGTGAATTTAGATATGTTCTCATTTTTTTGTCTCAATAACTGTTCCTCTACTATTTATTTGCCATATAATTCAAATTAAGGAATTTGAGTCAAAATTTAATTTGAAAAACAACCACCAAAACAAAAAAAATAGAACAACAAATCTTAATTCCATTGTAGGCAAGTAGCACTATTCAAGAGCTTTTTTGAAAGATCAAATCTATGTTTAGGAAGAAATTTCTGTCCCTTTTAAGATAATGTTCGTTTGCTGTTACTTTAAAATATACTCTTAATTTGATTTGGAAGAAATAAAATGAGTTGATTAGGAATTAAGTAGTTTTATTATTAGGGTTATTTTAGTAAATCAGGACAATGATAGCAGAAACTGCTGTGGAAAAACAACCCTTAACATGCTTCTTAAATTTTGCTGTGAGGCGATAAAAATAAATTTTGTTAAACACCCTAACATGCTGTAGCTTCTTAAAAAGTTAAAAATAGCCTCTAAAAATAATGCTAAACGGCCGTTTATCTTATATATGAAAAATAAAAGGATGTTCCATCCTACCTAATAGAGAGAAAAGAGGAGGGGAAGAAATTTTGGCATTAAGTCGAAAAATGGTTTGCGTTTCTTCTGACTTGGAAAATGTTTGGACAGAGCAACAATATGAGCTTGACATTTTTTCATAACTTTATGACTTTATGTCTTGCGTGATTTAGATCAGAAGCCAAGTTTAAGTTTTTAGATTTTTAAATTTGCAAGTTAAAAATAAGATGCTTTTTTGGGAAAGAAAAAAGAAATCAAAATGAATGCAATCCCAAACTCCATAAAAGCTTGTCAAGCATTCCATTTCTACGAGTGTGTGTATTAATCAACAATCTATTTAGAGAGATGCCAAAGATAAACGTGATTCTTGTAGCGGTCACTCTCCATGGTTGATCAACCTACTACAAAATACTTACTGATCATCGGTCCGAAAAACAGTCCTGAGAATATTCAAACCTAAACTCGTACCTATCTTTCTGTGGAAGAAGCGAAATTCGACAGAAGGGCTTTACTAGTCAGTTAAAGTGACCCTCATTGACAAGAAAACCTCAAATAATCAAAATTTGGGTTACGCGTTATCCATCTCGTTTGAATTTTTCCCGCCCTAGTTAAGAGCTGTACATGAATGGAACTAATAGTTACAAAGAAACTAAGAAGAAATTGAATTAATCTTGAATCTGTTTCAATATCTGATTCCTTTAGCAACCTCAAAAAAATGTGCAACATTCTCCTCAGGTGTACCTACTACAATTCCATGGCCAAGATTCAATATATGTTTTCCCCTGCCGGCTTTCTTCACAGTATCATTTATTCGGTCAGTGATGAAGTCCTTTGAACCGAAAAGAACACCAGGATCTATGTTACCTTGCACCGCTATATTCTGTCCTAGTCGCCTCCTACCTTCAGCCATATCTACGGTCCAATCCAAGCTAACGACGTCAACTCCTGTCAAAGCCAATCTCTCAAGCAAGCCCCCAGAGCCACTTGCATAAAGGATTAAGGGGATATTTGGATGGGTTTTTCTAACCGTATCCACAATCTGCTTCAGGTAAGGCAGACTGAACTCCTCAAAATCCACAGGGCTGAGTTCTGTGGCCCATGAATCAAAGATTTGAACAGCTTGAGCTCCATTATCCGCTTGGTACTGAACATACTTTGCCATGGAAGTAGCAAATTTCTGAAGCAATGCATGAAGCACCTGAAAGGGGAACCAGATGTACACATAAATAAAAGACAGCAAAGACGTAAACGATTTCAAATTGAAACTACATAAACCAACGGATTTTTGGTCTCAAATATTATCAAAAGAAGCAAATGGACAGGCTGCCAAGTTGGTTGGAGGTTGGAACTCCAAAAAACATACAATAATTAGTGGGTGGGATATGACTCTAGCTACAAGCTCTTAGCAAGATTCAAGGTGGGTAAGAATAAAAATCTAAATTAATCGTAAAATGCAATAAAGGGCAAAGGCCTCGTTCAGTTCTCCGATTAGAGTTTTCAATTCCAGTTTGCTAGTAAAAAGCTCTAATAAAAAGTCACATCTAACTTTTTCTGTTACAGTAAAAAGTTCTCACAAAAGTCACATCTCAGCTCGAATTGAAAACTTAAATCGGAAAACTGAACAAGGCCTGAATGATCTAGAAGACAATTTAAACCTGTGGAAAATCAGAGAAAATATTCTCTGAGATTATGGCCAGATATTGACTATGAATAGGCTGATTGTGTATAGCTGTGAATATTTGTAAACTCAGAAAGAATATTTGTATTCTAGGAAAGTAGGCTGATTAGCTTATTTCAGGAAAGTAGAATTAGCTTGTTTCCTTTTCTCTGTTTGTTTCCTTAAATCAATGATTGTGTTTTTTGATTTAATGGAATTGTATTACCTATAAAGTGTATGATACAGTAAAATAAAAAGTATTCCCCTCATACATTTTTTGTCTCTGCCTTTTTCTTCCGTGTTCACTGTTTTTTAATTTGGTATTAGAGCAAACCTATTTTCTTCCTGATTCTTCTTCTTCTCCTTTTGTTCTCCTCTTCCTTACCCCCAATGTCAGAAACCTCTGCTGAGTCAAGCGGAAAACCCACCTCAGAAGTCACCCCTATTTCAAACCCGTCAAAAACCATAGGGACAACGGAGTCTCATTCCGTTCAAATTACCACCATCCGTGATAATTTCCTACGTTGGTCGTAGTCGGTTTGTATGTATATCCGAGGTCGTGGGAAGATTGGATACTTGACTGGGGAAAAGAAGGCTCTTGCAAAGAGTGATCCGGCATATGCTACTTGGGATGCCGAGAATTCCATGGTGATGACATGGTTTGGTTAATTCGATGGAGGAAGACATTAGCTCTAATTATATGTGCTATCCAACTACACAAGAGCTATGGGAGAATGTGAATCAGATGTATTTGGATTTAGGGAACCAATCCCAAATTTTTGAGTTGACTCTAAAACTCAGTGAAATAAGACAAGGAGAGGATAGTGTCACCAAGTATTTCAACTCTTTGAAATGGATATGGCAGGACCTTGATTTGTTCAACACCTATGAATGGAAGTCTGCTGAAGATGGTCGCCATCACAAGAAGGTGGTGGAGGATAACCGAATTTTTAAGTTTCTTGTAGGTCTCAACATTGAGTTTGATGAAGGGGGAAAATCATAGGATGACAACCACTACCACCTATTGGTGAAGTATTCTCAGAAGTTAGGAGGGAGGAGAGTCGGAGGAATGTGATGCTTTCCTAGAAGGGGCCGAATGCTGTGGTGGAAGAATCTGCTCTTGCTGCCGTGGGAGAAAACTCAAGTAGGCTGTACCAGCAGAGAACAAGTGATCAGCAAAGAAGTGAGGATGGCTGGAGCAAAAATCCGACATACCAACGTCAAGACAAATCTCAACTTTGGTGTGATTATTGCAGCAAGCCCCGTCACACCCGGGAGACCTGTTGGAAGATTCATGGCAAATCGACAAATTTGAAAGGATCCAAGCTCGGTGAGAAAACTGGATATGCAGCCTCCAACACAAAAGAAACTGATCCCAATCCCTTCACAAAAGAACAAATGGAGCACCTCCTTGCACTGCTAAAATCCAATTCCTCATCTGGCACTCCTACTGTGTCTATTGCACACACAATAAAGAAATTACTAGAATGAATGCTCTATTGTGTTTCTCAGCACCATGGATAATAGATTCTGGTGCTTCTGACCATATGACTAATTCCTCAAATTTGTTCAATTCTTATATCCCATGTTCTGGTAATGAAAAAGTTAGAATTGCATATGGGACTTTCTCGTCAATTGCAAGTAAAAGATTAATAAAATTCTCAGAAAGAATAGATCTTAAATCTGTTCTTCATGTTCTAAAACTTTCCTGCAACCTCTTGTTTGTCAGCAAATTATCTAAAGACTAACTGTCAAATTACATTCTTTGAATCCCACTATGTTTTTTAGGACCAGAGCTCGGGGATGACGATTGGCAGTGCTAGGATGGTAAATGGCCTTTACTATTTTGAAGACAATCTACCTAGGAATAAAAAAGCTCAGGGCTTGAGTTGTTGTGTTAGGTCTTCTTCTATTTATGAACAAATTATGATTTGGCATTACCGGTTGGGTCATCCCAGTTTTTTTTATCTAAAACACTTGTTTCCATTATTGTTTATGAACATTGATCCTACGGTTTTTTATTGTGAAAGTTGTTTAATGGCTAAAAGTCATCATAAAACTTATGTTCCAAGGTTTTATCGTCTCTCAAAACCTTTCTATCTCTTTCATAATGATGTTTGGGGACCTTCTAAGATTACTACTATTTCACAAAAAAGATGGTTGAAAAGATATTTGGGGACATTCATAGATGATCATACCCGTCTTTGTTGGATTTTTTTGATGAAAGAGAAAAGTGCAGTTGAAAGTGTCTTAAAAAATTTTTACAAAATGATTGAAAATCAATTTCAAACAAAAATAAGCATACTACGTTCTGACAATGGAACAAAATATTTCAATAGTAAAGAACAAGGAATTTTTCATCAATCCTCATGCCATGACACCCCACAACAAAATGGAATAACTGAGAGAAAAAATAAGCATTTACTTAAAGTTGCTCGTGCTATAATATTTTACATGAATGTCCCAAAATATCTTTGGGGAGATGCAATTTTAACTTCTGCATACCTAATCAGCAGGATGCCTACACGGGTTTTACAATACCTCACCCCATTAGAATGTCTAAAAAGGGGGTTTCCAGATTCAAGACTAAACAATGATTTACCCTTAAAGTCTTTGGGTGCACAGCTTATATCCATATAACTAAGAGATCTAGGTCTAAATTAGATCCTAGGGCTGAGAAATGTGTCTTTGTTGGGTATGCCCCAAATCAAAAGGGCTATAGGTGTTTTAATCCTCAAACAAAAAAGTACCCATGTGACCATGGATGTTACCTTTTTAGAGAATATTCCTTATTTCACCAAAAATTCCCTTCAAGGGGAGGAAATGGAAAGGAATGAAGACAATTTTTGGGAGAAATCCGAACCTTTACCTCACATGATTTTTGATACTCTTTATCATGTTCTTGATTCTAAGAAGACCAAAACTGTTAATGATGAATCTGCCGTTGTTCCAATAGAAAAAGAAACACTACTAAAGGATCAAAATCAGAATCCTAAACCCGATCTTCTAGTTTATTCTAGGAAGAAAGTCTTCGGGAGAAATAAGGGGCATTCTACCATCGCTGCACCAAATCAATCGAAATCCTCGAGTACTGGAACTGAGTCCGTTACAGGTAACCTTTCTTCTATTCCTACTTTAACACCCAATCCAGATTATGATATTCCAATAGCTCTCAGAAAAGGAACCCAAGCCTGTACTAAACATCCTAGCTCTCAGAGCATTTACTTCTAATATTTCTAAACTTGTTGTGCCAAGAAAAATTCAGGAAGCATTACATGATCCAAATTGGAAGGCAGCAGTGATTGAGGAGATGGATGCTTTCAGGAAGAATGAGATTTGGGAGATAGTTGACTTGCCGAGTGAGAAGAAAACAGTTGGGTGTAAGTGGGTTTTTACAGTCAAGTGTAAGGCTGATGGCAGTATAGAGAGGTACAAGGCTAGACTTGTTGCAAAGGGTTTTTACACAAACCTATGGGATAGACTATCAAGAGACTTTCGCCTCAGTTGCTAAAATCAACTCTATTCGTATCCTCCTGTCTCTTGCCGTCAACTCTAATTGGCCGCTACACCAACTAGACGTGAAGAACGCATTTCTCAATGGTGAACTCGAACAAGAAGTTTTTATGAGTCCTCCACCAGGTTTCGAAAAAAGGTTCAGAGAAGGTAAAGTCTGCCGCTTAAAAAGATCTCTATATGGGCTCAAGCAATCTCCAAGGGCCTGGTTTGAACGCTTTGGTGAAGCAGTGAAGCTGCATGGATATTGCCAAAGTCAGGCAGACGCCACCATGTTCTACAAAAGATCAAAAGAGGAAAGGATAGCTATTTTGATTGTTTATATTGATGATATAATCTTGACAGGTGATGATAGCTTGAAACTAAAAAATTTGAAGGAAAGATTGGCAGCTAAATTTGAGATTAAAGATCTGGGGTCGTTAAAGTATTTTCTTGGAATAGAGTTTGCAAGATCCAAGGAGGGCTTATTTGTCAACCAACGCAAGTATGTTATAGATCTTAAAGAGATAGGGATGCTCGGTTGTAAGAGTGCTGACACACTGATAGAACCCAACATGAAACTACAACCTACTGAAGCTGATAAGGTGATCAACAGGGAACGTTATCAAAGATTAGTTGGAAGATTTATATACTTGTCACATACAAGGCCATATATTGCCTTTGCGGTTAGCATGGTGAACCAATTTATGCATTTGCCCGAGCCAGAACACTTTGAAGCAGTATACAGGATCCTGAGGTATCTAAAAGGAACTATAGGAAAAGGGCTGCTTTTCAAGAACCGGGAACATCTACAGACTGAGGCTTACACTAATGCAGATTGGGCTGAGAGTATAACTGACAGGAGATCCACTTCTGGATATTGTTATTTTATTGGAGGAAATCTGGTTACATGGCGAAGTAAGAAGCAAAGTGTAGTAGCTAGGAGTAGTGATGAAGCAGAATTTAGAGCAGTAGCCCATGGTATATGTGAGATAATTTGGATTAAAAATTTATTGGTAGAGTTGAAGGCGCCTACTTCACTACCGATGAAACTATACTATGATAATAAGGCTGCAATCTCAATTGCTCATAATCCGGTTATGCATGACCGGACTAAACATGTAGAGGTTGACAAACACTTCATTAAGGAGAAAAATGATAGCGGACAAGTTTGTATGATTTATGTCCCGACAGTTGAGCAAGTTGCTGATGTGTTCACGAAAGGGGCTGTATTCAAAGCAGTTTGAAATGATGACGTGCTATGGAAGATATTTTTAAACCAGCTTGAGGGGGAGTGTGGAAAATCAGAGAAAATATTCTCTGAGATTATGGCCGGATATTGACTATGAATAGGCTAATTGTGTATAGCTGTGAATATTTGTAAACTTAGAAAGAATATTTGTATTCTAGGAAAGTAGACTGATTAGCTTATTTCAGGAAAGTAGAATAACTAGCTTGTTTCCTTAAATCAGTGATTGTGTTTTCTGATTTAATGGAATTGTATTACCTATAAAGTGTATGATACAATAAAATAAAAAGTATTCCCCTCACACATTTTTTGTCTTTGCCTTTCTCTTCTGTGTTCACTGTTTTCTGATGAAACCATTACGCAGAAAACCCCAGATGATCACCGTGAAACATTGAACAGTTGTCTTGTTATATCCTCACTGTTTTTTCATTAGAGTGACCTCACATGTTCGGTAAAACTAAAGGCAGAGTCACAAATTACCTTGGGTTGAGAGAATGCTAATCTCTTTATTTTTGTAAAATGCTTAGACGAACCACCTTCAACTACATAAGACGCCAGGGTGAAAGGAGCGCCAACAAAACCAAGCACTGCTGCCTGATTATCTACCTGGAAAAGTAAGGATATGGTGTTGGTATGTCAGTTGGTTGAGGGACAAAAGATATTTAATGTTCATCAAATACAAGAGAAATAACATCAAATTCGTAATTTAACTATCTAAACATTGTTAATGATTTTAAAGGTCTTGAAAACAGCTCTACGAATCACAGTACACGGAAGCTACTTTGTTGTCTTATTTAACAGTTTTCTTCGAAACATCAAGAAACATTTTTCAAAAACCTTTTTGTCGTAATCAGGACCAAGCCATAGTCTCTCGATTTAATCTGGGTATGGTATGTGCAAAAATTCCTTTACGAAGTTGCACATGATTGAATTAATATAATTTGATACCCATACATGAAAACTAAAAGGAGAACAAGCTCAGTAGAACCTCTTTTCGCAAAATTGTCAGCGCTTCTCCAACATAGGGAACTGACTCTTCGGGAACAAATTCTCTCACTTGGTCGACATCCTCAGTTGTCTGTAGAGGATTGAATATGACGGGACCCTTACCCTTCACAATGTCAAATGGTATGTTCATCCCAGAAAGAGGGGTTAAAATGTCCGAAAACAAAATGACCTGTCATAAGTTGACATAAAAAGTTAGAAAATAAAGCAAGACGGCGAAGCAACTTATACATAGATTAAATTAATAAACAAAAAAAACCAGAAATTTGGATCCCACAAAAACATCTTACCCCATCAGGTTTAAAAACCTTCCAAGGCTGCAACGAGATCTCCACTACAAGGTCAACATTTTCCGATCTTTCGCGAAATGAAGGATGCTTCTCACAAAGAATTTGATAACTCTGTCATGATAAAATCCCAATAGGTCAGACTCCAAGGTAAAATACACATAATATATGTATACATGTCCAACACGCTATCCACTAGCCACAAGATGTCCCTAATGTTTTAAAGTGAGTTCCTATCCAACACTTCATGAAACTCCTCATTGAAAAGAAAATCTAAGGCCAGATTGGGTTTTTGGTTTCTTTCACTCCGGTGCTTGTTACAAGTTATCACAATTATTTCTCCAAATCAAGGTTCCCAAACAGAATATATCAACAAGGAATCCACCACAAGGGAGAAAAAGAACATATATTCCTGAAACATGAAATACAAAGTACAAACAATAATTGATGAAGTTCAAACCAAGCAATAAAAACCTGCCTTCATGTACCTCCCTGCTTGCCTCATGAGCCAAACGGGGGGGCGTTCAACATCTTCCCCGCGAACCGCATTAAGCAATAGCGGCTCTGCAACAGAGGCAATTTTGGGTTCTGCCACAGTCCCTGAACATGGTTTTTTTTTTTTCCATGAATTAGCAGAAAAGCTCAAACTAACAAATTCCAACCTTAGATCCAAATCAACATACACATACTAAAATTAAACTCTTGACAGCTAATATGTGATGAAGACCGTTGAATTCCTCAAGCTTAACAAGTAAGCAACCCGAAAGAAGACAGAATTACACAGAGCAATCTCAATAGTATAATTTCAAGATTGTTTAATGTAATCAATAACATCAATTGAGTTCGAATTCTTTAAAAGTCAGTATGTGCATTGATATTACTATGACTCCCTGTTTGGTCACCTAGAAAAAACGGCAAGAAAGAAATAGACTTGCAATTTCCCAGAAACTGGAAACAAGTAAACAGGACGAGAAGGCTCATTACATTACTATCCAAAAATTTGAAAAACCGGAAAGCCATTTCTAATTAACGACAAGAAATCCATAAAAACAGCGAAAGAGGCATATTGGAAAGAGAAATTACCTCCGAGGGAACAGTGGAATCGGGGTTTGGAAGCGAATCTGGATCTTGAAGAGGAAGCCAAAGAGAGCACGGAGTTGTAATTGTAGACGCACGACATCTTTGGAAGAGAAATTGGAGAACTCAAGGTTTGAAATATGAATTTCCGTCTTTGTCTCTCTCTGTCCGTCAGAAACAGAAGGAGAAGAAGATGAAGGGAAGAAGATGAAGGAAAGAAGAAATATGGGAGACGATGATAAAAAGAAGATAAGGAAAGGAGCAGAAAATCTCGTCGATAGATTTCCACAAGCCCACTGATCTTTGCCACCTCAGCTAAATGCATGTAGCACGCGGCCCACTTTTAACATGTCACAGCGACTTTATATTTGTACCCGTATATTTAGGCCCCGTTCACTTCACCAATTCGAGTTTTACTACAGTAAAAAACTCTCATAAACAATCACATCTAACTTTTTTACTACAGTAAAAAGCTTTCACATAAAATTACATCTCAACTCGAATTACAAATTCGAATCAGCGAAGTGAACGGACCCTTTTTGTTTATTACAAAAATTCTACTTGTGTTGTCGTTTTCAAAAGATTATGTCGTTTTTAAGTTGGTTTCGTACTTTCACTTTTTCTAAACTTAGGCGACTATCTAATAAAATGAAATTGATTAAATAATTTTTATTTTTATTTATAGAGAATGATTAGGCAGTTATTTTTTATAAAAAATATTATTTTTAATCGTTTCGTAATCATTTTGTAAATAAAAGTTTTTCAAAAGTTATTTCGCTTATAAAACTTCTCTCTTTCCACCTTTGCATTTAAGCGACCAACAGAACTACGACCTATTCCCGCAAATATTGTCAGCTTTTAAATTCATTTTCGTCTAAAAGAGACGATGTCGTTTTAATGTTATTCATTTTTCTGAGATGATGCAAATCAAATTCAAGGTCCGAAATGATGTCGTTTTTTTTTTTTTTTTTTGTTATTTGGTTTACGCCAATAGATTTCAAGAAAGTCAATTTCAGCAACGAAAAAAAAATAAAGAAAGTCGAGAACAATGCCCTTGATCGTTGTTTATATTTTAATTTCATAGTCATTACAATATATTTTTTTTCTCTCTGTTGCGTATGCGTTTTGATCCCAAGTTTAAAAAGAGAATGTGCCAATCGGGAGAATTGATTCATTGAACGGCTACTGTAGGCAGTTTCTTCTGTTTCTTTAAATAACATAAACTTCAATTTTCAGTTAGAAGCTAAAGTCTCTAGTTAAGTGCAATAGTAATTTCTTTCTTGTTTGACAACGCTGGTAGCTTCTAAGATGCAAACAGAATGAACCCTTTTTAGCCATTAAACATGTATTCCACAAGTTACATTTTTAACCAGACGAAATATCATTATTACCTGTGGTATAAAAAATGTGACAAGAAACATGTTAATTAAACATCGAGGTAACCAAAATTAAGCGTCAAGGGGGTACCAGGAAAGTTGTACCAGCAGCCAAAGTGCAAAGAACCAAAAAGAAAAATGGGCAACTACTTCATCTCTTGAGGAACAACAAGCTTAATACCTTACACAAACCATATAAATTACAAAGACTTCTAATCGCTTGACGATCCATCATCATCATCTTCATGTTCTGTCACGACCTTCTCTAGAAACCTCTTGCGAACTCCATCGATAACAGCTTTACCCGATTCGCTTCCACTCTGGCCGTCGTTGAGTACAGGGTCCGATTGGCAGAGAACTAATGCTACACCTGGTATTTCAAGAACAGCAAAATGCATATAATACGAAAAACATATGTCAAGACTTTCAACGGGACGGCTAAAAGTTTCAAAGCAGCGAATCGACAAAAATGCTTGGATTTCAAATACCTTCAGGCGTGCATCTCCTGCCGAACCGCTGCAAGCCTACGTAATTTGCTTTGACCGCCCCATTGTTGTACACTAGAAGAGTAGGAAGATTACGATCTGGGTAGTTTGGAATGCAATCCGTGGATATTATTTTGCAAAATTTAGTAGCAGGGTATCTAGTTGCCAATTCTTCCAAGCATTGCATCAGCACGCCGCACTCTGCGATTCTACAAGAAATTTTCACAAAGTTTTAAGACACAAGAAACTTTACCAAGCTTGGTTTTGAAATAAAGTGGAAATATATCTTTCGAAGAATACCCGTCTTTGTAGAGAATCACAACCACCCAAACATCAGATGGAGCTTGAGAGACCTCTCTCACAAAATCCGATCCTGAAATCGGAATAATTGATCCGAATTTCGCAACCTTAGCTGCTTCTCTTAGCTCTGCCAATCTCTTCTTCCTATTAAAAAACGATTTTAAATCAAACTAAAAACCATCTAACAAAGGGCATTACTTGTTGGAATATTTATATGGACTAGTACAAATCATTGTTAATTCATTCAAATATGTCACAAATTAGAGCATGGCTTTATGGACAATTATATTATAATATGGTTTATGCATGGTATTATAACAAGGGCCATAATGGGATGGACAATTTTATCACTAATATGTTTGGGGCCCTTGGACTCACTCTCTCTAAATATTTGGTCAGCCCATTAGGCCAAATTTTCTCTCTATCTCAACCCTTCGGTTAAGGGCCAACAAGGCCCATTTTGATTAAGGGGCAGACAAAAGAAATAAACAAGGGGGGATTTGGTTTTTAACCCCGTGGGTGTGTGTATGTGCGTGTGGGTGCTCTGCATGAGTGTGAAGAGAGGACGAGAAGAGAAGAGTTAAAAAAAAAACCCCCAAGCTTCCTTTGGTTTTCTCAGCCGGCTGATCGGATTCCGGCCAAAATGACTGAAGTCGTTCTGTTGCCGGCGGCAGGAGGTAAATAAAAAAATCATCAATTTTTCTATATGCTTCAACATCCGATAGTGCGTTTTTGGATTCAATGGTTCAAATAGTTTTTAATCTCATTTACAAGTATTAAGAACCTATTATCTCTAGCAAATGGTATCAGAGCAAACTTATTGCATTTGAAGCTGTAGTTTTTTCAATTTTTTGAGTTTGCTACACGTCCATGTTTTCATGAGATTTTTTTATTTTTATGGCTCTTTGAGTAAAGTTGATAGTTGAAAGCTAAAGAGAATGAAATTTGGAGCAAAACCCATCCAAAAACATCAAAAATGGACAACCGGAACTTACTTTTCTAGCGGGTCGGGTCACATATCTAATCGGACCCAATCTGCAAAGTTTCAGAGGTTAGGGAAGATCAAAACGACATGTCATTTTTCCATCAATGTGAAAAACAACATGTCGTTTGCAAGGTTCACTGGGGTTGCCTCATTAGTGAAACGACATGTCATTTCTATATGCCCCAAAACGACATGTCGTTTGCAAGGTTCACGGGCTGCCTCGTTAGTGAAACGACATATCGTTTCCATATGTCCCAAAACGACATGTCGTTTTCAAAGGACCACAACAACAACAAGCCTTAATCCCAACTTAATTGGGGTCGGCTATATGGATTTCACTTTTCCACACAGTTCTGTTCGAAATTAAACTTTCCTGAAGGCCTAGATCTAGAATGTCTTTTCTAACGACTTCGGTCCACGTAATTCTTGGTCTACCCCTCCCTCTCCTAGTATTTGGTATAAGAATGTCCTCCTAAGCACAAACGGGTGGTTTCTATCGATCTACGTTGGACATGTCCGTACTATCTCAACCTTCTATTGGTGCTACACCTACTTTACTACGAATAACTTCATTCTTTATGCGATCCATTCTCGTATGGCCACTCATCCATCTTAACATACGCATTTCTGCCACACTCATCTTAGATATATGTTGTCTTTTAATGGCCCAACATTCACTACCATATAACATAGCTGGGCGGATTACAGTCCTATAGAACTTTCCTTTCAACTTAATAAGCATCTTGCCATCGCATAAAACTCCCGTAGCATTTTTCCACTTAACCCACCATGCCTTAATTCTATGTTGAATATCCTCTTCTATATCTCCTTCGTACTGCACTATAGACCCAAGGTACCTAAACTTCTTAGAAGTCCCAATCTCCACACCATCTAAAGAAATTTCATCGCTCTAATTACTTGAGTTACTAAACCTACAATGCATGTATTCTGTTTTCGTCCTATTTAACTTAAATCTCTTTATCTCGAGAGTCTATCTCTACAGTTCTAACTTACGGTTAACTCATTCCCTATGTTCATCAACTAAAACTATATCGTCCGCAAAAAGCATACACCAAGGAACTCTATCTTGGATTTCTCTTGTCAGCTCATCCATCATGATGGTGAAAAGATAAGGACTAAGAACAGATCCTTGATGAAGGCCAATCCGAATGGGGAACTCTGCCGTATAGCCTCTAGCAATTCTCACACTCGTAACCACCCCATCGTACTTGTCCTTAATTACCTTAATATACCTCACATGCACTCCTCTCTTTTCTAGCACTCACCATAAAATTTCCTCGGCACCCTATCATATGCCTTTTTTAAATCTATAAAGACCATATGTAGGTCCGTCTTGGCTTCTCTGTACCTTTCCATCAGCATCCTAAGAAAAAAAATGGCTTCCGTGGTTGATCTGCCTGGCATGAAGCCAAATTGGTTACCTGAGATGGTAATTGTGGCCCTTAATCTCCTTTCGATAACTCTCTCCCAAAATTTCATAGTGTGACTTATTAACTTTATGCTCCTATAATTGTTACAATTCAGCACATCTTTTTTGTTCTTAAAGATGTGGACAAGAATACTTTTCCTCCATGCATTAGGCATATGCTTCTTCTTTAGTATCTCATTAAAAAGCTTAGTGAGCCACACAATTTCAGCATCTCCTAACGCCATCCAATCCTCTATTGGAATATCATCTGGCCCACATGCCTTCCCCTTTTTCATCTTCCGTAGTGCAATTTTAACTTCTGAGACTTTGATTCCTCTTGTGTTCATCACATTAGGTTCCCCTTGTAACCTAAGATTGTCAAACTCAACTTTGATTCCTCTTGTGTTCATCACATTAGGTTCCCCTTGTAACCTAAGATTGTCAAACTCTATCGCATGATCATTATTATAAAGCTTCTCAAAGTAACTCTTCCACCTTTCCCTAATGTCTTTATCTCTTGTCAGAACCTGATCCGTATCATCCTTAACACACCTCACTTGATTTAGGTCCTGCACTTTCTTTCTCTTATCTTAGCTAGTTTATATATATCATTCTCTCATTCTCTAGTCCCAAGTTTCCTATATACCTCATCTAAGTAAGTAGAACGAGCCTTACCAACTGCTCGCTTAGCTTCTTTCTTCGCTTCTTTGAGCTTATTAAAAGTTTCAACATCCTTACACTTTGGTAAATCTCTATATAAATCCCTCTTGGTCCTAATAGCCTTTTGAACTTCCTCACTCCACCACCAGGTTTCTTTCCCAGGGGACTTTGCCTCTAGATTCCCCTAGTACCTCCTTTGTTACTTTTCTAATGCAACTGGTCATGGCATCCCACATAGTATTTACATCACCTATATATGACCAAGTAGCCTCATCTAACATCTCCTCTTTAAAGGCCAATTGCTTTATTCCCTTCAAATGCCACCAACGAGTTCGTGGGAAGTGGTTTATCTTAGTGCTTCTATAGCAAAGCTTAATGCTCACATCTAAGATCACTAACCTATGTTGGGTGGCTAGTACTTCTCCAGGAATTACTTTACAATTCTTACATAGAGAGCGATCTCTATACCTGGTGAGAAAATAATCCATCTGGCTTAAGTTCCTTCTATTCTTAAAAGTTATCAAGTGAGAATCTCTTTTTTTGAAAATGTGTTTGTTATGATAAAATCATGTCCCAACGCAAATTCTAAAATAGATTTCCCTTCTTCGTTTCGAGCTCCAAAACCAAACCACCATGGATCCTTTCGAAGTTTTCCCTATCCTACCAACATGCCAATTGAAATCTCCTCCAATAAAAATGCTATCCTCATTGCCTAAGTCATCCATGTCTTCTCAGAACTTGACTTTAGTTTCCGCATCCAATCCTATTTGTGGAGCGTAAGCACTAATTACATAGATAAACTTATTTCCTAGTACCAATTTGACCATAATAATTCTATATCCTACTCGCTTAATCTCAACTACGTCATCGTTCACAGTTTTGTCCACGAGAATACCAACTCCATTGCGATTCCTTTCCTAACCTGTATACCATAACTTGTGTCCTAAATTTCCAATCTCCTTTGCTTTCTCTCATGTCCACTTCGTTTCCTGTAAACATAAAATGTTAATTTTTCTTCTTACCATAACATCTACTAACTCCATAGATTTACCAGTTAAAGAACCTACATTCCAACTACCTAAACGAATTTTCGTATCATGGGCTAGCTCTGCCCCTTGCACACGTCCATGAATGTGCAAGGACCCCCTTGAATATTTTTCACCATATTCGGGGCCCGACATGGCGCATGGGCTCGCTTTTCCCCCCGCACACGTCCATGAATGTACGAAGACCCCTTTTGCCTATTTAACACTATACCCGGGACCCGGCATAGCACGTTGCACGTAGGGAACGCCCCAACAAATTCTATGTGAGTGAAATCCATGAGTGACTTATTTTTATGCTGGCCGTCAACCTACCGCAACCCTCCTCCTTTACCTGGGCTTGGGACCAGCTATACAAACGCATAGGTGGAGTTTTCAAAAGACCAAAAAAAAAAAAAAAAGCTCGCGTGAGGGCACGTGAGATGTCTGATTTATGCCCTCTTTTCACTGTTTTGCTTCAAATTTCATTTACTAATTATCCATACTATTTATTTGACGTTTTAACCACACTAAGACCATACTTATGGATACTTTGTATTGTTTGAATATATTTTTTGTGGTTAATTCTCAAATTGATCAAATATCATTTTCCTGGGCTTCTCTATGCAGGGTTGTTTTGATATTTGAATGCCATTAATTTGTCATCTAATTTGCTAAATTAAAATGACATGTTAAATTGTGACAAAATGACGATCTTGAGTGTTCATGTACTTGCCTATCGTAAGTTAGAACATGTCAAATAGTTTTGCGTTTTCAAATTGTTTATTTCTCCCACAACTAAACCTATAATACTAAGATCCATACGGGTGATAAAATTGTCTTGTCGATAATTTTATTACTTGGTAGGATGATTAGATTGGTGTGTTGACGTGTAAATGAGTTGTAAATAGAGTAGGAGAAGAAATCCCTTGATTTCAGGGATTCGGGTTAGGCAGGATTATTTGGTTTCCTGATTTAGGAATGATTTGATTTCCTATTCTCTCTCCTGTAATTAGCTATATAACACCATGTAATACGTTTATTCATC